TCTCTCTCACCTCTTTAAATCTTTTTTTCTTGAAAAAAAAAAAAAAAAAAAAAAAAAAGGACCAGTAGCCAGGCCAAGCTCTCACTGGCTTTAGGGTATATTGACAGTGATACTCCCTAGCAAGGAGCAGGCAGAGAAGGTGGCTTTCTTGTTGCAAAGCACCTTATCCAATGCTGCGGTGGGTAACAAGCAAAAATGAGCCAGAAAGCCCAAAAAGGTTTATGGGCAGCCAGCTAGGGGCGGAGATGGCTGCATGTGGGGCTGGCAGGGCTGTGGTGACAGGCTGAGGGAGGGACAGAGGTGGCACAAGGCACCCCCAGAAACGCAATGCTAGGCTCGGAGAGCTCCTGCTTCGGCTACTGGAAAAGCCTCCTTGAGTCAGCCAGCCACCACCGTGGCAGTCAGTGTTTCAGTGGTGGATTAAAGCAGTCATGAGTTACTGCTTCCAACATTTTAAGCTCTGGGAGGACGCTCATGAATAAGTGCAGCCTTCATAACCTGACTCTCGTAAGCATGAACTGTCTATAAAGTCTACGCTCATGTCTGACATACTTGCATTACAAAGGCACATGCATTGCTGCTTGTTTTGGGATTAGGTCATTTGTCTCTGATCTACTGTTAATCTGTTTTAAAGCCAGGCTGGAAAATAATTCAAAATTGTTCATTTTAAAATGATGATGCTGTGCACCGCTTAATTTTAGACTCTCAGCATAATTCAGCTAACGTTGCCTTTTCAAGTGCTCTGGTAGATTGTAATCAACTTGGCAATGAGTCTCCTGACATGACGGAGAACTCCCTGCGAGGGGATGGTGGAAAATGCCTTTCATTGGAAAATGGGAAGTGAACATCTAAGGGCATCTGGTCATATGCTGCAGACTAAACAAGACAGGTCACATTTGGAAGTAGTGCAAAGAAGAAAAGAGGAACATGATCAGCATTTAGACACAGATCCAAAAAAAGCCTCAGGGGCATGAAGTCTGATCAGTGCAACACCTGATTCTTCAGTGCTGGTCTATCACTGTATAAATTGATTGAATTAGATATATACGTTCCTTATAAAATGAGATTCCCCAGCATCCAGCTCATGAAATATCAAGTTGGGGAGACAGAGACAAGCAAGGGCCAACCATCAAGGTACTGCTGAGGACAGGGATGCATGTTTCCCACTGAATGGCTTGGGATGTGATGCTTTCACCCAGCATGTCAACTAAAGTGACTTACATAGAAAGGAGAATTTGCCGCAGACCTCAGCTTCCCGTTTTAGACAGACTGTCGCAATGAGGTAATTGTAGCACTGGAGTGTGGTGACCACATGAAGCTGTAGCACTGCTCAGCTAAGTAACCCTTTTGTTGTCCCTCAGTACTCCTGCAATGGATGCATCTGTCCTCTTGTCTCCTCTGAGGCAGCCCAAAGCCCAAAGAAATCTGGTTTTGAAGCTCTGCTCTTGACCCTGAGGTCTTGAGCAGGGACAGCTGGAAGTGATGGCTGTGTGTTGTACAGGGTGTGAAATGTTTCTGTACCTTCTAAAAAAATAACTTGTCAAAGAGATGGAAAATGTAGTTGATTAAATGAGGGGAAAACTAAAAGGCACATCCAAGCCATGAGGAAGGAGATGATGATCACCTCTGTGCTCAGCTCCAGCAGGAGTTCAAATTTCCATGTTGGCGTTACCATAATTTCTCTCCGTGGCTTCAAATTAGTCAACAGAAAGTGAATTAAAGACTCTGTGATATTCACAGTCCAATGCTATGGTTATGCAGAGTCACAGAGAGATCGCGGAAACAGCTAATGTGAAGGCTTGTTTTGTATAAACTGAATAAAAGTAGCACTAAAGGCACCGTCCCTCCTTACTGCAGGTGGCAAAGTAGGAGCCAGGTATCTGAAGCAACTCAGCAATGGCTCGCCTTACCTGAGTGGTCTTCGGGCAACAAAGCACAATGTCCCCATTTCCTGTCCCGGTCGTAGTTATGTGTTGTTGAACACCTGAGAAGAATTAAAGGTGCACTTTAGCACAGTTTTAAACAACCTGGATGATTGCACTGAATCTATATGGCCTTCATTCTTTGGCAACCTGGAAATTCATACTTTTTTTCCTAATTAACATGTTTCATTCAAAATCTCTTAACTCCAGAAGACAAATATGCTTTTAATTGTTGTTGTTAAAGATGCTCTGCACCATTCCTTTCAAACAAAATACAGATTAAGAATGAGATGTGGAAGCAGGACCTGACATCTCCAATGAATCCTCCAGAAAAACCCAACCTTCTTTCTATTTCTAAGATTAGAAAACGAAAGACAGAAATAAAAACCAAAACCAAAGCAAATAAATTATGTCTCCTTTACTCATTACAAAACAGGCAAAACAGGACCCAACCCATTTTTTATGCCTGTCAGTTACTTTAATAATCTGTGGAGGTAGGAGACTGTCCACAGAGGGACTTTTTCCTGGCTGTCAGCGGCAAATGTATTTTGCACTCAGTTCCTTCAAAGTATTTCTATTTTTTAACTCGCCAGATGAAATGAGGAAATAACTGACACGGGGGTGATTTCCAAATGCACAGATAAAACGCCTCCTTTTAGCAGAGCAGTGGGCTGAATCCTGCACGCCACGATGCCCGTGGGAATCCTACCGAGACAAATTTTGACAAATCTTTTATCTACACGCTTTCCTTGCCCTCATCAGTCTGTTATCTCCACGACTCATAGCGCTCCAAGGAGCATTAAGCTGCTATTCCCCATTTGCCGAGGTAGACTTATAGGCTTCCCCAAGGCCACACAGGGAGTGCGTGACTGACCCGAGGCTGAACCTTGGAGGTCCACGTTGTGTCCCAATGACTCGTCCACCAAAACATCCTCCCCAACCAGTTCTAATGCAGTATAATAAATATCAGCTGCCACTACACAGAAAAATATGTGGCTACACAGCATTGGAAGAAATAGGAGTTTGCTTTATTTAACGTGCCTGATAATCTATTTTTGTTACGTATGTTTTTATCATACCTTGTGATAACAAGGTATACCAGTTAGTATAAGTTAACAACCTTAGCAGTTGTGTTATCAAATATTTTTTCACCCTCGGATGTCACAAGCTCGATTGAAATTTTATTGTAGAGCATGTCTACCATTTTAACTGCCCTATTTTGCTTCTTAATTAGACGCTATGTGGTATTTAAAATGCTTTAATTCTTACAGAGCACCTGAATAGGCCACGCATATTAAGTTTGGTGACCTCAATTATATAAGGTGCACAAAACGAAACGTGCTCAGTAGCGTAGCGCAGATTGACTTGACACCTTCTTAAACCAGCTGTTTGCTCACAGGCATTAAGGCCCGTGCAACTCTGCTGGGAGTTAATGGAAATTTCTCTGGGCTCCTTCAGTGGGAAGCGGATCGTGCTTTTTTAAAGGATGGTCTATTACTTGTGAGCATTAAGGTGAGGAGTAGGTTAAAAGCGGTTCTCAGCAGTGTACTGCTTGTGTCATTGTTCCATCATTGTGTCCACTCTGACTGGACACTTCATCCGTGCCAGCCATGGCAGGGAAGGAGAAATCCAACTTTTCTAACTTTTCTGATTGACATAATTATTGATTTAGCAGAGGGACGTTACACTGGACAGCATGGAAGACATAAATGGAAAAGGCCCTGTATACACCAAAAGAATTCAAGCAAACTCTGATCAGTAGGAGGAAAAAAACAATTTATATGCAAATTAATACTCTCTGGAGTCTGTCCAGCAGCAGACAAGTTCTAAGCAAATGGAAACTCAACTTTTTCCCTCTTAAATGTTTTTTCTCACCAGAGACCCTGACTGAGGCTTCTTCCACCAGCTTTCCACAACCCACTGGTCCTCCTACCCAATGCTCTTCACAACCAGTCCCCTCCTTCCCTACTGCCTTGCAGTGACTATGAAGATGTTGGTCCTCCCCTGTGATGCCAGGCTAGCTCCTCAGTGCCAGGCTTCTTACGCATTCACATAATCCTTCTATATTTTCTGCCACTTATCTCTCACTGTCTGGCAGAAGCTCAGCACATCCTCAGAGCTATTTCACTAGTGCCCCTCCTTTTCTTTTTAAAACCTCTTCTGTGCTGGGAGGCTTACCAAAAATGTGATAACAATTCAGTCTTATGGGATATTTCCTCCAGCAACCACACCAACAAAATGGGCTTATTATTTCTTTGTGCTACTTGTTAATGGGCCCACTCTCTAAATTTATAACAAGAGTCTCTACATCACACTGCCACATAAAGAAAATGTTAACAAAGATATGAAAATTTAAAGACATGGATACTGAATTAATTACACCAGAGAAGTCCACTACTAGGGATTGATTTAAGCAACATTTTAAACCCATGTGTGGTAAACAACATGGGAATGGACAACAAAATGGTGCATCACAGATGTGGCCTGACTGGTAGGCAGGATAAATGGAAAGTGTGCTGTTTTACCCATCAGGAGCATCAGCACCCTTAATAATAGGATGTTTTGGAGATTGCCTCGGGCACGAGCCAAAATGGTGTAAGGAAAGAGCTCTGCCATCACGCCTGGTGCTGTCACTATGTTCAAGGCTTGGAGGTTCCCTCAGACCTCTTTAGGTGTTGTCCTGACCATGAGAGATAGCCAGACTTCACCTGACAACATCAGAGCAACCACCACCAATGCCAACAAAATCCAGAGTCTGATGCTTGGTGTCCTTGGCTCCTTCTCCTTTCCAGAACTGGCATAAACTCTCCAGCTTGTAATCCAGCTGGCCAAAACACTCCTTTGCATTGTTTTCAGTCTGTGGCCAAAGTATCAAGTTTTCCCGTTTCCAGAGAAGACAGTAAGATCATGCTTTTTCTATACAGACCTAAGCCCATCTTTTCAACCTGGCATAATGGGGACCCATATGTCCAGCACTCGAGCACAGGGTAAGGTTTCTCCAGTCAATACCTTCCAAGTCACAGCCAAAATCTGTGCCAAAATCTGCTCCCGTCATTCCCCTTGAGCAGGAACCCATCCCACCACGGGACACAGAGGCAGGGCACTGGCAGCATCCTTGCAGCCACAGCTTGGCTGCAATTCAGACCACCTTCCCCATTTGCTCTCACGGATGTTCATTGCACCCCCATTTTGTCTGTCCCAACACTGTTTTGTCTTTCTGGAGGTACCAATGAACTTCAGCAACAGTTCCAGCTAATTTTTTCTCTTCAGCTCAAAAGGTAAATTTACATGACATCTTTAGTACCCGGTAAGAGGCCTCTAAATAGGAATTTATCTGTGAAAACAGACTATAATTAAAGGGAAATGCAATACAGGATGCTGTTAAAGGAAGTTTGTGATTTGAATACTGCAATTATTTTGTCTTCTTTCCAGTGTTTTTGATAAATATTTATAAAGATACAAGTTATTTGTTGCTCTTATTTGTTGGAAGAGGTTTCTGTGGTCAGGACTCTGATTTATGTTGAAACATTTAACGTTACAAATGGACAAGGTCATGTCTGTTTGCCTTCCACATTTAGTCCTTTTAATCAACACTGTAGCTTTCATAAATGAAATGTTCAGCTTTTTATTAAGATAGACACTGCTCTCAAATGCTTTCTGCAGGACTATCTGCCTGTTGAACTTAATATGATGGACTAGCACACAATATCTGTGTCATATGTAGTATGAGAAAACATATAATAAAATTGAAGCCAATTGGGGCAGGCTTTGGTTCACACTAGAGAGTCCTGCCTTGAAGTATGGCTTGAGGACTAAGGACAGGGACTCATTAAGTGAGTCATCCAGCATTCTTCTGGTGTGGTCTCCTTGTGTTTGACCCCAAGGAGGCAAGTGGCATACAGCCTCTCATCATCTCCATCCTTACTAGCAGCTCACAGTCCGTCAGGAGCAAGAAGGACACAAGCCTTGCCCTCTCCTCCTGCTTGTTGGGTCCCCTGGGATCAGTTATTCAGCATCAATCCAGTAGGGCCTAGTGCCAAGTCACAAAAAATCACAGAGCAGGTTTCCTGACTGCTATCCGCGGTTCTTTTCCCGGCATCTCTGTGCCTGAAGTCACACATTACATTGCTTTTAGCTTATGAAAGCAGAGTAAACACTGGCCAGAAGGTCAACCGTGGGGTGAAATGGCCTGTCAAAACCAAACAGCTCCAGCTGTCCTCCTCCTTGTCTCCCCACTTGTAAATGGCTTTTTAAAAATTGGAAGCATAAGACCAAGTTGTCCAAGGTCTGCTCTAAAGTGTGCTCTAACCTTGGACCCCATCAATTCACAGGTTTTTCCATTTTTTTTCCATTTCTGTGGCCTAACTGACTAAAAACAAATACACAGAATGTCATGTATTAACAAGATCCATCTTCAGCATTGCATGAAATTAAGTGGGTCCAAAGTTCAAACTCTTTGTGGCTACAGTTCATCAAAGACAGGGTTCAAACTGGAAAATTAGTCCAGTTCCCTTCGTTAAGATATTCTCAAATTCTTGTTTTCTTGAGTTTTTTCTTATCTGGATTGTAACTATGGATGTTGGGAAAATTCAGAAGTGGTCTCCTAGCTTGCAGCTCTATGTCTAGTTGTGTAAGGTGTGTGTTTTGTTGTTTACATTACACCAGCACTTACACTTCAAACAGACGTGCCATCACAAAGATGACACAGATCATGAAAAAATTAGACAGTCCAGTATAGAAAATGAGAGTTCTGCCCTGCATAGGCAAGAAAAATAAACTCTATAAACTGTTATCTCCACCCTGAAAATGCGCAAGTATATATCTTTCACAAAGTTCATCTGTGCATATATATTTTCACATTAATGGTACCCATATATTCTCTGCTTTATTGCCTTTGATTTCTGTTAACATACACCCATTAGATAGGTTAGATCTGAAAAGTTAGTCTTGTTTATTCAGTGCTTGCTGCAGGAGGGTTCCCACCTGACTGCCCTTGCCCCAAAATGAAAAACAAATACTTTTTACTACTTCTGCATACATAAAAGAGTAATGTTTGCCCAAAATAAGGAGACCTGGCCTTAAGCACACTAGTAGAATAAATCATTACCCTACAATTAGGAGTAATACCTCATCTCTTAGTACTGCACTATCCAAAAGGGGCCTGGTGCCAATCTGAATAGAAATTAGAGGTATGGGATAAAAAAACCCAACTTTTCTCAAAAATTAGTTGGTCTCTGCTGCAGTACAAGTATGACCGACACAAATCAAACAATTCCGTAACCAAGCCTCAGCTCTTACAGCTGTCTGTATTTCTCCTTTCTTTCTCAGCAGAGGGTTTCTACCAGGTCGTGCCACCAGTCCTGACCTTTCTGTACAAGCTCTTGCCACTCATATAAGTCACAATTCCAATATGAAGGCCAAGGAGGAAATATTTCTGCGGTTCTTGAGCTTTTTGTGGCCCTTGAGACCCCATGCCTGGGCTCCCTCCCCTCTAAGTATTGACCTGAGTCATAAATACAAACAGGAGATCTGAGTGGCTTTCCTTGGGTACAACATCAAGCTCAAGTTAATTGTTCTAAAAACAAGATTAAAGCACTAAAAGGATGACATTTTCATCTGAATGCTGTCTTCATTTATGAGCAATGTTAACTTACCATTTCTTTCGGGAAAATAGATTTGATAAACACGAGTGATAAAACCTTCCACCGTACCGGAAAGGAAATTTGCATAAATTTCCATCCTCTGTAAACACTGAAATATAAGAATAAAAAACTCATCATGCAGCTGAAATCCAACCCACAGGTATATGTATTATATGTTATTATATGAAATAATGAAGATACATATCTTCAAGTTTTTCAGCTATACTTTGGATTCTGTGACTCTGGAACCTGTAGTGCATAAGAAGAGGTTTGAAATCCTACATAATAACTGAATCAACAAAGATTAATGGGCTCTGCAGTAGAATAAAGATCTCAGATAATTTCAGCTCAAAATATATTGCAATTTCTGGTACAGCAAATGCCAATTATATTCATTAATTGCAATAATCATTTCTAATTACGTAGTATTGTAATAGCATATTAAATTGATTTCTGAAGTAGTATCCTTTCAGGCTCCATATCACATTGTAACATCTGTTTAAAACGATTAAGGCACCAGACAGTACAAACTGAAATAGAAACAGTCAGGAGAAAGAAGGTTTTAAAGGTTGGGGGAGATGACAGATAATTTGATCATACCACCTTCCCTTTGGGATAAGCAAGTTCCTTACACGTGGGGAGAAACCGATGGGACTGGTGTCTGAAAAGGGCAAGTTTTATGTTTACCACATCAGTGATGGGAGTCTAAGGAAGGGTGGTGGGAGTCTAGGAAGGCTAGTGGGAGTCTAACAGAAAAAATCCTTCAAGATGACTCTTGAGAATGAAGGAGACTGAAGATAAAAAAGACAATGAAAAACTGTCAGAGCTTATTTAACCATTAAATTAAAAGCAATCACTTCTGAGAGCCGGGTGCGTGAATGGGAAGCCAACCACTGCTGTAGGAGAGAAATGGGGTGTACAACCAAGCTGGCAACACAGCACATTTCCATTTCTCAGTGACAATGTACAACTATTCCTTATCCTGAGCTTACCCCTTCCATCATGGCTGAGCCTCCTGCACACCTTTGCAATACCTGTTAACCCTCGCAAACCCAAACCCATCATCTCAAATAGCTGATGAGGCCAGTTATTAGCATTGTGGAAAAGATAACCTGTTCCTGTGGTCCAAACACTTCCTAACCGGTTGGAATTATGGTCACTCTATCTGTCCTGTCTCCTTATCTGTCCATGTGAAATAGCTACTGCCAGCCACTCTGCTGTCCCTTTTTCAAGCCTGGTTTTCATTGTCTGAACTAATTAAGCAAATGTTCAGATATTTACCTTCCCTGTCTCATCGCTCCTGTTATAAGCAGTTAGGGGAGTTGTGAAAATACATCCATTCAGAAGACATATTGCTTCCCAAAACCCATTAAAGACTAAGCTATAAAGGCACCACTAATGGCCTGATTCATGTAATCCTTAACAGCAAAAGCACAGGACAGCAAAAGCACGGGACAACAAAAGCTTTAAAAACGGAAGTCTGCAATGCGTGCGCACAGCCAGGATGACGGATTATTTAGGTGTCATCAAAACAAATGCAACCCAGCAAACTGCATGGGGCCCAAACCCTTCTCCCACAGGGAGATCAAGGGCTGCAGCAGAAATAGAACCTATGTATATCAAAGAGCTTATATACTTTAAAGTTGCAGGGCAGATGCAGCTCTGATTAAAATAAAGGAAGTTGCACACCTACAGCCACACCGTGTTATGAGTGAATATAATCCGCACCAGCTGAGACAAACTAAAATCCTATCAGCACCTTCCCATTAATCCACACCTGAAAGAAAATTACCAGAGATTTCTGAGCTAATCCCAAATTCCCCTCTACACAGAAATTAATATTAGCATAACCATTCCATAATCCTTATTCATGTTGAAACAAAGACAGGCTTACTACTGACTTGCACAGCATGAATACAGACAGGCACATCATTCTTACTGTCATGAAACCTATTGGATTTGACTCTGTACCTTGTGGGCGAGTGAACTCATGTTTTGAGCCTCTTCCTGCCCCAGATTTGTTGTGCTACAAAAAAAAAAAAAAAAAAAAAAAAAGAATGTGGATTGGAGACACAAATTCATTCTGGGAACCATCCTACAGAGACAAATGTGCTTTCCAGGGTGCCCTGAAATTGTGTTTCTCCCAGTGCTTCTGCAAAGATCTCATTTTTTGTGTGTGATTTTTGCTGGGGCACAGTCTGGTGAAAGAGGGTAGATAAACACTGGCTCGTGAAAGGTCTCTCTTAAACCAGAAAAACACAGCATAGCACAAAAAAAGCCAAAGCTCTGCTCCATTATATATTTCTGTTGCCAAAGGATACATCTCCTATTTCTTTCAGCAGTGGAAGCATATATGCATTCTGGGGCCAGTTCACAGTTACAAATAATATCCCAGCATTTGACTTTTCCTGCCATTTAGCTGTATCCCCCAGGGCATTAGTTAAAAAAGCAACCTCTACTTTATTAGGATTTGCCGATCAGCAAGCAAAGAGCACCAGGCTGAGCTGATTTTAAGCCACAGGAAATAATAAAAAACGGTAATACACGTAAAGTGCTGCTGCCACCAAAGGTGATGACAGCTGAACTATAGCAAAATAAAAATATCACAAAAGCAGTCAAGGAAGCAGCACATCATGAACACAGAACTGGAGAGGGGACATAACAAGTAAGGGATAAGACAGAGCTGTTGCTAAGATATATAGGGAGGGCTGGAACAGTTCTGAGGAAGAAGCAGTTTTTGCACTCTGCACTGACTCTGCCAGCACCGAGCAGCCTCCAAAGGCTTCAGTCAGGGCTGGTCTTTTCCTAGGCTCCGTGAATATTCCTCTCTGCTCCCACCTGCAATGTCTAAGGAGATACTTCTGTACTTCACTGAGTCAGTTAGGATTATAGCATCATTTAAGTATACCTGAGCTAGTTTTAAACTAGCTGGTGAAATAAGGCTAATCATAAAGCCACACAACGGGGGGTCTGGGCTAGTAGGTGCACTGCTAGTCCATGGTGGGTGCCAGACCATGGTGGGGTTTAAGCAAACTAGCAAAGTCAAAGCATCACGGCCACGCTCAGCAGTGCTGCAGCTGCCTTGCAGACATACCCCATAAAAAGACACAAAGCACCCGACGAAAACACTGAAGGGCATGGCATGAAAACAGGGAGAGGTCTGAAAAGGAGGCGGTCACCTAAGCTGGCATGTTCAGTTACCAGGTAGCAGTAAAGTCTGGTGGGGTATCACTCTCCATCCGTGTTACTGGCACCTGCTTGTGCCAACTCATTTCTGAGATGCATTTTCAAAGTATTTCAATTTTTGTGGTCCTTCCTCCCTTCCCATTCTTCCTCCCTAGCAAGGCATGGGTGTAAGCAATTTCTTTGAATGCAGATACATATGGGCCCCCTGCTTAGTCAGCATTGTTGTGAGCCTTCATCTAGCAAAACCCTTTTGTTTTTCATTTGAAGCACTCTTTCTTTCAGTCTGGTCGGCAGCTTCACTCATCCAACCCCACGGCAACATTGTCCTGCCAGCCAGCACGTAGGTGATCCACCACTCCAAAACAGAAGAATCAGACTTACCATCCTTGTACAGTCACTGCTCAGAGTCAGAGCCAAGACAACTGCGAGAGGAGCACAGGCTTTCATCTTTGCTCTGCTCTCACGAAGGTTTTGCCTGGCAGAGGGAAACTTCCAGGGCTGGGCTGAAGCAGGAGAGTGAATCAGCAACAGGCTTTCACAAGGGACTGTGATTTACTTGACTTTAGGGTATTTTAGCTTTCTAAGTAAGCAGAGCTGTTATCATTGTTAATCATTAATGTCTTTGTGGGTAGATGGGAATGACATGTAGCAAGATACTCTCCCCAAACCAAAGGGAGTGAAGAGTTTACAAAGTGCCTGACCCTCAGAGATGATCCCTGGTGTACTCAGCAAGTGTTTAAGAGCACCTCCAGAGGAGCTGATCAAATGTTGCTCGTAATCAGAGATGATTTACCATCCAGACCTCTCCCATCTCTTTCCTTCTTTCCCTTCAGGAGAGAATTAAAAACATGGCAGAGCAATAACAAGGAGCTCCAAGCAAGCCCACTCAGGAGATGACATTACATTGCAAAATATGGACCAGATCAATGCTGATATCAGACACAAGAATTACTCATTAACAGATGGTTACCTGTCCAGCCATGACTTACAGCAGCAGCCTTTGAGCAACAGACTAGGAAAATTAAAGTGAAAGAAAATAAACATTAATCTGACAAAACATTTAGTGCACCAAAAACTCCCTTCTGCAGCCACCTGAGCAAAGCCACGTCTGTCTTGAGTTTGGCTGAGATGGCTGCACTGTAGAAGCATTTCTAACAGGGATGCAGAGAGTATTGCTAAAACTGAGATTTCACCAGTGGAGTCTGTTTCAGCCCCACCTTGCCCCACAACCAAAATCCACAGGTTTGGCTGGTACAACTGTGTCTATGCATGAGGCTTTTGCCAGCCATGTCCTGTCAATCAGGGACCGCACCTCTTCACACCCAAAATCCCCAGAGCCACAACAACAGAAAGAATACCATAGTCCTTGCTTAAGTTGCGCTCTACCCTTTGAAGTTTCACCAGCACAGCTGCGGAAGGGATGTGATTTTTATTTTTTTAACCCAACAAAACCATGGCAGTAGGGTCCAGCGGTGCAGTGGAGCTATCCCAGGACAATTTTGCCATGATGGTTTATCATGTTGGAGGGGATTTCCACTGGCTGTGCTATCACACTGCTGTGTCTGTCGTCACAGTAATAGCTCTTGTTAGTGCAATCATGCATACCCAGGTTTATGGACAAAACTTTCCTTCAGTCAACAAGGCTTGGAACAGCAGAAACCAGGCAAATTTTGAATTTTATTCCCAAAATCCAGCAAAGAGCAAATAAGCAGAAAAAAAATATTTGCCTCTATATATTGTTTGTTGCCTGAAGATTTGAAGTAAATAAAGCTTCAGAATAGACTTGTGGCATAGATCTGTCTTATTTTCACTCAATTTCAAACATGGAAATAGGATGTACAGACAGTCTGGTCTGCCTGGGGACAGCTGGCAAAGCTGGAATATAGATTTCCACTTCCTACCCTTATTCTTGACTTTGGCCATCAGGCTTCAAACTAGTAATACCTATACAATGGCTTGTAGACATCTACTTACCATCCAGGCCACTGAAATTGTGCAAAGAAAGCACAACACCCCCCCCCCCAAAAAAAAAAAAAATAAAGCTGCTATTCCATCCAGAGTTCCCAAAAGCTCTGTGGAAAGAAAGGAGGAGGGGAGCAAGAACTGGACAGCAAGAGGAGAAGGAAGATACTTCTTTAAAGCTGTGGAAATAGCCTCTTCCACACATTTCCAGAATAAAAACCATCCACTTCCAGGACCAGAAACATTGTACTTCTGTGGTGACTAACGTAGGTTGTAGAAAGCATTTTCCCATACCTAAAAGTAAGAAAGAAGAAAAGCAAGAATGTATTCTGTGCCCATGTGTCTGCTCCCAGTTGCTGTAGTTCATAGGCAATGAGCTACAAGCAAGAGTTGCAGAGTGTCTTTCTGGGGAGTCACAACTCTAAGCTTTTAGCTCAAACCATTTCTTCAACATAAGAAAAAGGGAAGAAGCACCAACATCAGGAGCCATTCAGCTGATAGGATGGTGCTGGCACAAAGCAAACGGAAAATACATCAAAGCCAGGAGTTGCAACAGCTGCCAGAGAAGCACCACCATATAATAGGAATTACCCCTGAGTAAGGTCTGAATATCGACCAAACAGTGACTTCAGGGTTCAGACAGATATGAATCATGAAAAAAAAACCAACTACTACATGTACGCTGCCTGCACTGTTTCCGCAGAGAGCTGTCTGAACAGGTCTTATGGCCAAAGAGAAAAGGCAGAATTTAAGGTATGTATTTTTGTAAATTATGTTAAATGATCAGTGACTCTTTCGGCTATTTATAATCAGAAGAAAGTCTGCCTGCCTTCATCAGGCTTTTCCTAGAATCAGTAAAAATGGAATATGCCACATACTTTTTTGAGAAACATGGTATCTCATTGGCAAGAAATCTCTCAGAAAGCTGAAGATCCAGTTTTGATACTGAGTTCTTATAAACCTCACAGGGCTTTGGGCACTTGGGAGTTCACAAGGGTGAAGAATAAGATTTTGGCTACAGATATTTGTGTGTCATCGTGTGAAGCTTTTGGCCACGAGCAGCAGCAGAAGTGTGCACGGAGGGACAGTTGGGGAACAAACCTGGGGAAAGAGAGCTGACATGCATGAATCCCTTACACTGGTCCAGTTTTATGCCATTCTGGATAGACGCACCCAGCAGCTCGGTCCTGGGTGAGCTGGGAATGACCCCAAAGGCACCAAGCAGGGACGCCATCCCTTCCCCTAACACGTGTTCAAGTGTGACTCCACAGCCTCTGTCGAGAATCCAGATGCACAGAGCTTCCGCTGAGAAGATAATAAAAATGGGGAAAAAATAAGCAGCACAGAGCTTAGGGAGTTTCAGCAAGCGTAACCCTTTTTATTTACTCATGTACGCTGGTCTGCAATCGCTGGTACTCAGTTTACGGGAATCGCACCTGACCTCAGGAACAGACTAACAGAGACGAAGGCAGAACTGGTGCACGCAGCCGCCCACCTCCACAGCACACAGAGCATCGAACGGTCTGCGCCCTCAGCACAGAGACCAAAGAAATGCCTTCTGCTGTTTGGTTTGTATCACTGCAGCTGAGAACTCACCATACCATAACCATTGCCCCATGGGTCAGGCTGACGAGCCCACAGAGCTGCTCTCCTTAACCTTCTCAAATCAATTAATCTGTGAACTCATTATTTCTGATGTACTGAAGGAAACTTTCCATAAAGGGAGAGAACAGTCAGGTGTGTATGAAGCAAATACCATAACAGCAAGAAAAAAACCAACCAAACAAAAAGATACAGAAACAATCTGTATGGTGTTCAACATAAAGTCCCTAGCATTAGATTTTAGACTTCATTTAGTGCCCATTTCAAATGAAGCTCTGTAAAACACTAAATAAATATAAATAAAAATAAAAATAAAAATAAAAATAAAAATAAAAATAAGTATAAATATAAATAAAATTGTGTGTGTGTATGCATGTGTGTATATATATAAAAAAGAGAGGAAACATGGAAATAGGAGCTAGTGGAAAGACCTGGGTTTGGGGTGACAGAATATTTGGCAGCTCTAAGGCCTGCAGCCTGTATTGCAGCTCATCCCACCAGTGAAACTGCAGCTAGAGTCTGGTTCTTGTTTTCTACGAAAATTCCATTTTCCTTTTAAAGAAAGGCACATTCTGATTCTTAACTTTGCTGCACATAATATTGAACATTTCTTGTGCAGTGCACACAATCCAAGTGCATTGAGAGCCAGATTCTGCTGCTGCTGAAGTCAATGAAAGGTTTCAAAATAAGACTAGAAACTCTTTATCCTGTTTGCAGGATGTAATCCTTCTGTATCAAAGGCTGAAATCCCTCAGTTTCAGTATTTTTCCCTTGATATTGACATCTTCATGGGAAAATGAAAAGGCAAATAAACACAGAATAAATGAGCAGAAAGAGACAGCAATCCTTGCTGCAGGGGGTATAGCACATAGTGATAATGCTGCCTCATACATCTGCCTTTTCCTCACTTCCCACACTGCAATGTTTTTTATTTCTTTAAATTTAACAATAATTAATAAAAGCCCAGACTGAGCCCAGACTCTGAACTACTTAGTAATAATTAAACAATGTTAGCCATCCTAAATCATTAAATACCAACAAAAAGTAAATTAACTGAGTCAGCCACCAATACAAAATAATAAAATTGCTTTTTTTTTCCTCAATTAATTCACTAGACATAAATGGAAAAGACACACACACACATCCATTTGCATTCATTCCTGCGTACCAGCTACCAAGCAGACTGGAAGAGGGTTATGCCACAACTGCAAGTTCATCTGTGCTCTCTATTTTTCCGTTATTTCCTGACGATTGTAAATGTTTCTGAGAAATGTACCACTCAGGAACTGCAGAACTGAAGAAAAATTATAATCTTTTCTAATTACTAACTGATTCACCCATGTATTTTTACAAACTTCTGTGCTTTTTCATAGTAACAAGCTAATAAGGCTTCCTTTGTTCAAAGCCGGGTTCTTCATCCCTTGTGAAGGTAACATGTGGCAGCCAACTAATGGGGCAGTGTTGCCTCCTGAGATGATCTGATTTCCAGGCTTTAGTTGTGATGAAGCCCAAACCCAGCTTCCTGGGTGAGGAGACAGTTGCAGTCTACAGCCCAAGGAACCAGGGCTAGACCTAAAGTCTCTGCAAGTGTGCTGTGTCTGAGACATTTAGACAACCTGATGAGTGCACATGAGTTGGAAGTAATTAGAAGTTTTTCTAGCATCAAAAATACAACCATGCATTCGTCTTTCAAGGAGGGTAGGATGCAAGCAATCATGTGTGGCAATTCTGCTCCTGGTGTACCAACAAGGGACTCAGTGCCAACGTGAGACTGACAGACAAACTCTCCTGACTCTTTGTTCTTTTCCTTTAGGGGACCTGCAAATCACACTGCAAACCTTGTCACTGTCAGATGGGATTCCCTTCGTCTCTGTTGCTTGAGA